ATACATACAATACTTTTTTTTTTGAATATAGAGAATTTTTCTTTAAAAAAGATACAATTAAACTTAAATATTATCTATTTAAATTATAATTAATTATAATTTAATTAATTAATTATAAATTAATTTATATAATTAATTCGCATAAAAACAAATTTTTTATCAAAACAATTATTGTTTTTTAAATATCATTTGAATTAAGTATAGACTTAATCTCATAGGAGAATTTATTTATATATTATAACAAATAAAATATAATATTATAAAATATAAAATATTATAACAAATAAAATAGAATCATATTTAAAATAATTTGTTAGACTCATTGTTAGCTACAAATTACAAAAAAAAAAAAAAATTAGTTCTGATTCTTAGAACATTATTTGCACTTTGAAAAAAGATAGATTTTCTAACTCATTCTATTTATCTTAATAGAAGAGTTAAGTTCTTTTGATATTCTTGCTATATGTAGAGATTTTTGAAAGTCACGATATAGATATAGATATAGATATAGATATAGATATAGATAAAAATGAATCGTAAATGTAAAATAAAATCTTTTTTTATATTTTCAAGAAAATTAAATCTAAAAATTTGTATGCATATTTTTAAATACAATTTGCGCATAATCAGTCTCGTTTTTGTTTTTTTTATTTATGTCTATAACATTTTATTTTTTTTAAATTTTATGGATCAAATATTATATATATAACAAAAGTCACTAATCTAAATTAAAAATCGATCGAATTTCTTAATTTTCCCTAAATCTTTATTAAAGAATAATAATAATAATTTCAATTTTATTTTGGTAAATTTAATTAATTAATGATTCTTTGTATTGATATCTACAACAAAAATCAAAACAATTATCCACGCAATTTTCAATGAAAAAACTAAGCATAATTGATATTGGAAATATTAAATTTTAATATTTGAATTTTATTTTATCAAACTCAAGATTCGTACATTCGTACACAGAAAAAAAATGAAATTTATGAATTTAATAATTATAAATTAATAATAATTAAAAATAATTAAAATTAGAATATCAAACTCAAATGAATTAATTCGAAAAATTTTTACAATTTATTTCTTTATAAATGATTTTTTTCATAAATATTATTATCATAAAAATTTGAAAATATTTTATTATTTTGTACTTTCTTTTAAAAATAGAGATTATTTTTTCATTATTTATAGCACATTTTGATATTTTATTTAATTGTTTTTAGAAATTAAAAAAGTTAATAATTTTTTTTTTATTTTTTTATATGTCTTTTCATGTTTCTTAAAAAATCTCGATTTGTAATAATTCGTTAGTGTATTGAATAATTTTTGAATTATTTAAGTTTCAACACTGATTTACAAAATTATACAATTGATGTTGAGTAATATTTTTGCGATATTTTGTTATTATAATATTTGCTTAGAATTGACTTATTTTGATTCATATTGATATATAAAGTATAAAAGTTTAAGTACATAATACTGAATATAAATGTATAGATAACTTCAAATATTATAACACAATGATAAAGTCAAAATTGGATATTGCAAGGAAATGACTGCTCAAAATTTTTTATTGGCTTATTGATTTAACTTATATCAGAATATTTTATAATTTTGTAAAAAAATTTATATAAATTTCACAAGTTTTATTTATTATAAATATATTTTATAATTATTATAAAATAAAATAATTTTTTAAAAATATTTATTTTTTCTTACTATGTCATAATATAATGTAATATCATGAGTTCCTATTTTTATATCCTATCAAATCATGACTTGCAGAATCTTATAAAATATTCATCATCATAAACAATTTAACGTGATTAAATTAGCTTATAAAGCATCAAATTTTTATAAATTTTATTATTTATTATCCAATTTTATATAAAGGAATAATTTTTAATTTTCCATTAAAAAATATATTTTCGATTTGTAATATAATACCAACCATTTTAACATAACATAATTTCTTTTAAAATAGTAGTTAAATTATATTTTACTTTGTCTAAATTTTATAGCAGAGGAGAAATAATATATCGAGAAATAAAATATTTATTTTTTTAAAACAATGATTGACTTTACAGACTATTAAATAATATAATTATAATAAATATTGCTAATCATATCACAAATCAATTCAATATCCTAAAAAGATCTTTTAGTTCATAGAATTTTTTTATAATACTCATTACGAAGTAATTTATTTATTAATAAAATTACTACAAAGGATATTATTCTATTAAAAAATTCTACTAGTTGATTCTAGCATATATACTGTTGTGGTTTGTCACTTCAATATGAATGAGTTTAGTGGGGGAATCAGATACTCGATTAGTGCAAAAGCTATAGGCAAGTATAGATATATAAAACATCGTTAGTAATATAAAAGCAGTAGTTTGTGAAAGACTGTCTTGTTTGTTACATCAATACGTTCCACGCATATCTTCGTAAGTTCATTAAAATTCTATTATTTAAAAAAAAATTACTTTTTATTATTAATAAGAAATAAAATTAAGTAAAATTAAATAAAATTTTGTGTAATTATTTTTGTAATCTTTTTGGAAATTTTTATAATTTTTTCTAGTACGTTGATAGTTTATAATATAAATTTTTGTAAATTCATTAAAATTTTATTAAATTTCTATTTTATTATTTTTCATTTAATAAAATTTTCTTTAAATTTTAATATATTGCTTAAAACTTTTACTTCAATATTTTCTTAAAATCTTTATTTTTTGTTTTTTTTTAATTTTTCAGATTTTTACAATTCTTTTTATAATTTTAAAAATAGTAAAATAATATTTATTAAAATAAAATATGCAAAAATGTTTTAATTATTTCACTTTATAACATTTATGATAAAAAGATACTAACGTTAAAATAAAATATTAACTAATATATATATTCTTATTTGATTTTCATTCATTTTATTTAATATATTGTAACAATATTATATAACAATGATATCAGTGTAATAAGGTGAATCTTTTTATCAAAATAGTTACTATCTATTATCTATATGATTAACAGAGTCAATGTTAGAACCTTGGTATTAATCATCTTTAATGCGAATGCTAAATATGAAATTCTACGTAACAACTGAATTGAAAATTACCGCTGAAGTTAACAATAAGTTCCGTTTGGAACATTCTTGTTGTTCTGATATTAAACATGCGAATAGTTATTAATTAAACAGTTGGTTTCTATAATAGGTAATTGATAATATTTGGCATTAACTTGTTTATAACCTTGAACATGAGCTTTATTTGATTTTAATTTTTTCTTCTTTTTTTCGAAATTTAATTTGAATTTTCAATTTTTAAATTTTCTAATTATTAAATTTTTGAACATTTGAATTTATATATTTTCGAATATTTAAATCTACAAACTTACGGATCTTTAAATTAACAAATTTTCGAATTTTTAATTTATTTAAGTTCTGAATTTTTAATTTTGAATTTTTTAATCTATTTTTAAATTTTTAGCTTTATTTTTTAATTTAAAATTTTATAAGTTTTCAAATTTTCAAATTATATTATTTATATTATTATATAAATTTTCAATTTATGCAATTTTTAAGCTTTTTAAATTTCAAATTTTTAAATCTATAGATTTCTTATATTTTTTAATTAAATTTTTTCAAATTTTCATATTTTTAAATATTCAAAAATATTTTTACAACCAATAATTTATTAATTCATCAGATTCTTTTAATGAAAATTGCATAATATATGGTCGAATTCTAAAAATAATTGCATTAAAAATAATTAAAAATAATTAAAGTGTAAATAAAATTAAGGATTTTTATAAAATCTATACTACTAAATTATCGTACTACTTTCTCTATTTCTATTTATTCTTCTATTTATTTTTTTATTACGTATTTATTACATACATACGTATATTAATAATATATAACAAGTCTTATTTTGTCATATTGCGCAATTTATAATAACTTGATTTATTTTATGCGAAATATTATCATAAAAATAAGAAGCATAATAGTATTGTAACTCATTATATTATGATAATGATATTATTAAGATAAAATTGTTTAATTCTCTGAAATTTGTATTGTATTATATTAATTAGTAATTCCATATTCAACAATATTATTAATTTATTAATTATCAATAATTTTTTAAAATTGATTTCTATTATAATATATCACAACTATCAATAAATATATCAATAAATTTCATCAATGAAATTATTTTATAAATATTTCTAATTTTTTAAAATTATGTATAAATTTAAAGGTAAAAAAAAAAGAAAATAGCAATAGGAAATTTATAATAGAATAGAATATTAATATATATAATATATTTATATTTATACATACTACATTTAATTTATATTTATATTTATATACAATGTATAATATATTTCTTTAATTACAGAAAATGTCCACGTATAAATTGATTTATTTCAATATTCCTGGTCTTGCTGAACCGATTAGATTCCTTCTTCATCAAAGTGGAATTAAATTTGAAGATAAAAGAATTGATACCGAAGAATGGCCCAAGATTAAATCTGGTAAATTGACATTTAATTTATATAAGAAATAAATTAACAATAAATAACTTTTTTTATGATTTAATTTTTTTAATTTCAAGTTATATACTATAATTTTAAGTTGTATACTATTTTATATAATGTATACGATTTTATATAATAATTCATTAATTAATTTCAATTTGTATAATTTCTAATAGCGTATACATTATTATATTTTATATAATAATCTATTATTACTTTATTAATTATTATAAATTTTTTAGAAATGCCACTTGGACAAGTACCTATTTTGGAAATCGATGGTAAAGTTTATTATCAATCGAAGGCTATTTCTCGCTTGATCGCTAAGAGAAATAATTTTTACGGTTCCAATGATGAAGAAGCTTTCCTTGTTGATGCTACTGTTGAGACTATAGACGATTTAAGACAACGTAAGATCTTTATTTATTTTAAAAATAAAAAGAAAAATAAAGAATTTCAGATGAAAAATTATTTTTTAATCTATTAATTTGTTAGTAAGTCCCAAGAAAATTAAAAATAAACTATATCGATAATATGTAATATTATATAATCATTTGTAGCAATTACTCAACATTATTGGGAAAAGGACCCTGCATTCAAGGCAAAATTGAAAACCAATGTTGATACCAAAGTTCCCTTGCTTCTCAACAAATTGGAAGAACAAGTAAAGAAAAATAAAGGGTACTTTGTTAATGGAAAGGTAATTTTTTTTATTTATACAATTTATAAATTATATATAATTAATATATTATATATAAAATTAATCCAAGTTAAAAATCTAAAAAATGAAATTAAATATGATTAATAAATTAAATAACTTTAAATTTTATATATAATACTTATAATTAATAATATATTGTAAAATAATTGTAAATTAAATTGTTAAATGAAGTTATATAATTAAAGAAAATTTCAATAACAATGTAAATATATGAGAATCTAAAGAAAATGAAACAAATAGAACAATTTTCAATTTGATAAAATTATGAGTAAAATTATAAATTTGAATAAAAAAATATGTGTTTCCACACATTAAAATATACAATATTTAAATATTTTATTATATATTTAATTAATACAATTTTTTAAATGAATATTACGGTTTCCTATATTTATTTTTTGTGCTTGATCTTGAAAAAAAGCACTTGTGTCATTTTTCCACTGAGATTCCATTTATTTTCTGAC